ATATTTGTGCTTCTATCTTGGGGTTCATTTCACTTAACATCATCTTATCTGGTCATATACACAGCTTTTGACCTTTTCTGCTTGTCCTACCCATGTACTAGTTATTGCAAATAAGGGAAACCACAGGACCTATGTTTCTTTGGGCCTGGCTTACCTCACTTAATATAATTTTTTCCAAGTCTTTTCATTTCCTAACAAATGGGGCAATGCCATTCTTTCCGATAGAGGTATGGAATTTCATTATATATTTCATTTATCTACTGAAGGGATTCTGGGTTGGTTCCATATCTTAGCTATGGTAAATAAGAGCATTTCTTTCTTATGCCTCATTTCCAATCATCTATTTTAAAATATGGAAGTGATAAGGAAACTATCACAGCTTAGTGATACTCTTCTGCTTTATTGTCACCATGGTACAATACAGCAATAACAAATATGCTATCTGTTATGTCCCAAATTACATTTCACATGCTACAAGCAGATGATGAAAAACAAGGAAAAGAGGCACCCTCCTGTTTAAGAGAAATGAAAATCAGTATCTTTCAAAGTATGAGCCATTGAAATGAATGGGTCATGATTGTCATAGGAACAGACATATAGAAACTCACAGAGAGTACCTAAGTGATCATTGTTCCAAGAAGTTGATATGAGACAAATAGGATTAGCACAATGCAACATAAAATAGGTCATTGTTGTCCTGCGTGCTCCTTTGTAGAACATAACTTTGGATGATGCATTCTGTTATAGTTGTGTAGCTTGCATTGCTTTCGTGATAAAATGCAAAATATGGACCTGCTAGAATCTTTCCGTAGACATGTCTCTCTGAAATGCTGGATAATTAAATCTGATTTTGCATCTCTGGAAGTACTCATTAGGAAGGTAAGACCAGAGTTCTATTTTACTTGGCACCATTGTAATCTGTAGCAGATATAGATGATTTATACAGGACTGAATGGTTTTATTTTGCAGAATACTCATTCCTGTCTCAGAGATGTATTCTGTAAAAAAGATAAATACCCACTTTTCATGACAAGGATAAAGCAATTAATTGGTTGTTTTCTACTAAGAAGTACAATTTTCTGGGTGACTAAAACAGCACAGCTTAGTCCTTGCAATATTGTAAAATTGCTTACTACTGGAATATGTTGCTTTGTCTATATAAGATTGAGAAATTATGAAGGCCAGAAAAGTTATTGCCAAAAATAAAATACTTAACTAAATTGCAGACTGGTCTATGTACATTTGATAAGTAGCTTTGCTCAGGGTTGATCTCTAGACATATTAGAGTGCTCTCTCTGTTATTCTGTATGCAAAAAGACACAAGATGTACAAGAACCCATCCTTCATCCCTGCACTCTCACAAGGTCTCTAGGTTGATGTCCCAAAGATACATCTCATACTTCTGGTGAGGGATTAGTTCCTGAGCAGTTTTGCCTTTTGCATTCCCCCATTTATACAGCCCTACCTCCCCATGAGTCTTCCATATCCCATCCCCATTACATGTGGATAAAAACCAATTTCCACTTTCCATATCTCTACCAGTGACTCTCCCTCACATTCCTGATTTGATCTTCTAAGTGTAGATTGCATATTTTTAAGTACTCCATGCTATTATTTAATATCTGTCATTTGTAGAGGGAGATTATTCTCTAGTTTTTTATATATCTAGACAACCTTTGGTTTGATTAGTTTTTATTATGCACTGGCAAGGAAACAGACATGTCTATGTGGTTAGCTCAAGTTTATAATAATTGATAGGCCTTGTTGGTGATGCTATGTTGTCCAAGTAGAAGAACATATCTTATGTTTTATATGATTCCATGAGTCAAACAACTCGGAATGGGCTTTGCTCGTTATTCCTCATTCTCTGTGCATGAAAGTAAGTCAGTATATGCAGAAGAATAACCTCAAGTGTAGAAATGAAGGTAATATAAATTTGAAAATAATTCTCATCAGCATGATGCCTAATATTTGTTGAATGCTTCTTTAAAGTGTTTTACATAGTTCAGCATATTCATTACAAAGAATTAAACTTTGGGATGACTTTGATTATTATTTCCATTTCACAGGTGAAGATAATGAAACAAAAATAAGTTGTATATGATTTGTCAAAGGAGTTAACATTGCTGAACTTGGGTTCAGCCTCTTTATACTTCACTTCTAGCCAACGTGCTATTAACAATGTAGCAGGAACCCAAGATTTGCATTTGGGAAAGGAAGGAATGTGAAAGTGACAAACTAAGAAGTCTCCACTTAACTCCCAGGATGAAAGCAATTATTTAAACTTGGGGCCTGGGTGTTGTCCCTGAGCTCTTTTGCTCAAAGGCTAGTGCCTACCACTTTGAGCACAGTGCCACTTCCTGTTTTTGCTGGTTAATTGGAGATAAGTCTGTAACCCCTCTGTACATCACCTTGACAATAAAAAATATTTAAAAAAATAAAAAAATGATTCGCTTAAAAAAGAAAGTCTCAGGGACTTTCCTGTTCTGGCTGGTTTCCAGCCATGATCCTCTGATCTCAACCTCCTGAGTAGCTAGAATTACAGGCAGGAGCCACCAATGCCTGGCTCAAATACAGCTTTTTTGTTTTGTTTTGTTTTATTATTTTTGTTTGTTTTTTAAAAATTTGCTGTGTGTGAATTGAATGTGCTACAAAAAATTATCTTGGCGGAGGAACTTTTGAGGAGGCAATGTCACTTAACAAAATAACTAAATAAACTATCCTAAAACATACTTGAAAAGTCAAAATTAGATTTGTTCATATTATGTTAGTTAGTTATCAGATTTGTTCCTTATCTAGCCATTTAGGGTATTATTTATATAATCTAGGCTTCAGGGAAAACGGTGGAAAAATAAAAGAGAACAAGGAGAGCTCAGCCAAGAGCTATAGAACCTAATATCAGGCTCTCTGAGAATAGACCGGGAAGGTGGCTTCCACCTCTTGGGCAGGATTTCAGCCCAAGGCCTAAATGGAGCAGGTGGAGCTGCCAGATAGGAAGGAGAGAAGAAAGGTCCTATTGCTCCCCTCATATCGAGGCCCCAAGATTAGATTGTGGGGCAAAGGCAAGGTGAAACCAAAGCCCCAGGTAAGCAAGAGGAAGCAAGAGAAGCAGCAGTTGTCTTTCATGCTGGTATCTAGGAAGAAGGCTAAGGAAAATAAAACAGAAACCCATTTCAACCAATTAGTTGAACAGTACAAGCCCATATTGTTGGGACCTTCAAATTGAGCACCTCTAGCAAAGGGGAGCAAATGGTTTGATAGTTGATGATTACCAGTGTAAGGTCCACTCCTGGATGGCGAGCAGACTCCACCCTCCTCTCAGCAAAGTCTCCACCCAGTACCTGCGTTACCTAGGCAACTGGGACACCTGGAAGAGGTCACATCTGCATCAGCTGAGGTCACATCTGAATTTGATGTGGCCACACCTTATCCCGCCCATACCCTAGATAAGGGCTAGCACAGGCCCAGGCTCTCTCTGTTCTATTCTAGCTCTCTCTCTGTTCGTTTCTAGCTCTCTGCTCTCTCTGTGTTCCATTCTAGCTCCCTCTCTGTTCTATTCTAGCTCTCTCTCTGTTCGTTTCTAGCTCTCTGCTCTCTCTGCTCTCTCTCCCTTTTCTAGCTCTTTTCTCTCTTTCCTTTCTTTCCTTTCCCAGCCACGTGGAGTGCCAACCTTGCCTGGTCCCATCAGATCTACTGAATAAACCTACCCCTTACCTGAATACCACGTGAGTGCTGCTGTTCTTACCTCTCTCTCTGCTCTTTTCTAGCTCTTTCCTCTCTTCCCAGCTCTCTGCAAGTGGTACTATAACTCAAAGTGGTTCAGTGCTAGCCTTGAGCAGAAGTGCTCAGGGACAGTGCCCAGGCCTTGAGTTCAAACCTCCTTGACAAGCCATCCCAGCAATGAGCACCTAGACTCAGCCAGTCTGGGGAACAAGGGAACATGGAGAGGAGTAAGAAGAGATGATGTCACATCAGCTATTTTTTGCCTGCCCTTTCAAAATTAACCAGAGCCGGGAGGTCAGTAGAAGTAAGAAGCCTGCCCATCCAGTGTCTATACCTGTCTACCTATTAACTGAACAGGAATTTATATTGTTGCCTTTGTCACCTGACTTCTCTACCTAGTTGCCAGATGTCAGAAGTAGCTAAGGACATTTCTACCAACATTTTCAGCCCCAAGTCCTTCCTCTTGCCATTTATTTGCTCTCTAGTATTTTTTTTCCCAGCCCCTCAATGCTCATGAGACGTCTCCAGACTTCATCTAAGGACTCAGGCCTACCAAGGGACAGCTGCTGCTCACTGCCTTCTCTGGGAGGGGACCAAATTCCAGCCTTTTATCCCTATTGTTGTTGCCCCTTGTCAGCAGGAAGTAGCCAGAGAGAATCCTCGCCCTATTTCATGATTATTAAAAGGCTGGAATGTAAGGTCCACTCCTGGATGGCGAGCAGACTCCACCCTCCTCTCAGCAAAGTCTCCACCCAGTACCTGCGTTACCTAGGCAACTGGGACACCTGGAAGAGGTCACATCTGCATCAGCTGAGGTCACTTCTGAATTTGATGTGGCCACACCTTTCCCCGCCCATACCCAGCAGGCCCAGGCTCTCTCTGTTCTATTCTAGCTCTCTCTCTGTTCGTTTCTAGCTCTCTGCTCTCTCTGCTCTCTCTCCCTTTTCTAGCTCTTTTCTCTCTTTCCTTTCTTTCCTCTTTCCTTTCCCAGCCACGTGGAGTGCCAACCTTGCCTGGTCCCATCAGGTCTACTGAATAAACCTACCCCTTACCTGAATACCACATGAGTGCTACTGTTCTTACCCCTCTTTCTGCTCTTTTCTAGCTCTTTCCTCTCTTCCCAGCTCTCTCTCATTCCCAGGCCTTTCCCAGCCACGTGGAGTGCCAACCTTGCCTGGTCCCAGCAGGTCTACTGAATAAACCTACCCCTTACCTGAATACCACGTGCGTGCTGGTGCTGTTCTTACTCAACTACCTCTTTTTAAAAACCTAACAACCAGAAGACTGGGTAAGAAGCCTAGTGTGCATTTCCTCCTGATGTTAGCCCACCCCCATGTCTCACTAAGAGAAGCAAGGTCCCAGATGGTACCCTCTCTGTTGGAGGCTTTGTGGGCTATGCACATCTGAACTTTGATCTCTCCTCAGTGTGCGGTTGATTAGCCACAAAGATATATCCAGAAAAATCTTGCAATTACCTGGATTATTGTGTGAAATTGTGTATATGATTGTTGCCTGTTTTTACTCTGCTTCTCAATGGAAATAAGTGTAAAAAGCATTCTGCCTTTTTAAGATGTAAATTTTATTAAGTGTCTTCTAAATGAGAAATTATGTGGCTTTTTGAATAATAGACTAATTTCTAATAAATGTAACACCTTTCATTAAAAAGAAACCAACATCAACATTTTGTCTCAAAATTAAAAAGAAAACATCTCTTTGGTATTCTGGGGTTACCAGTCAGCCCAAAGAAAGATAATTAACTGACATCTATCTATCCCTCTTTTTGTTGAATATACAGCTGGGTTTGAAGCTCTACCATTGGATAAAGTTGAATATTATTTTGTTATTGCCTGGGCTATAGGACATTAGAGTTATAGTTTTGTACAGTAGAAATAACATGGGCCGTAATAAGGAAAAGAAAGCTCAACCTACTAAGAGATGGACTGCCTTCCTAGTGCTTTAGGGTTGATGATCTGGGGACTCCACAGTTGGTAGTATTGAGGAAGGCCAGAATAGAAGAAGTCGTTGTTGGATATCCTGGGGTTGCAAATTGACATGGTCATGAGCATACAGGAAATAGCACAACAGGATGCTTGGAGTTATTTTGGCAGTCAATGTCTTGTTGGAGTTGGAAATTCTGCAATAGCAGGTGGGCACTGGAGAGTCAGAAACAACAAATACGTTTTTTGGTATGTATTTCAAGCCCTGGCTATATTGGCCATGTAACAAAATGAGTTCCATGTGTCAAGAAATAATATCTAAATTTCTACTGAATTAGAAAAAATGGTACTGAGTAATAGTACATGTTTCATTTAATTAAAAATTATTTCTGAGTATGCTGTATATGCAATGTTATATTGGATGCTATAGACAATTGGAAAAATCCAGTGGTTTAGGGGCAGTAGCAAAAGCAAATATGGAATATTTTCTATAGTACTCAACAACTTTACTGTTAGAAAAAATAAATATTTATTACCTTCTTGACCATAGAAGTAAGGAAATAAAGTGGTGTTTGATATGTTGTAAAAGGTGACATTAGGGGTAGTGTCCTAGAAGAAGAATAGAGGACAGGATTTGTATTAGAAGAGAAAAAAGTAATACCAAAGTGTATACTTTTAAAGGTACAGTGTAGGATCCTGAAAACATCTTTTTTTCCCCTTTGTCACTGTATGCTTACAATCTAGAATATTGCCTTCAACGTATCAGATATCCAACCAATTTTTCGTAAGTAAACGCATGCTGAAATGTTAAAATGCTTTAGAACTCTTGTATAAGGGCTTTTTGAAGATATTTGAGATGATCTAATTAGAGAAAAGTTTTTCTCTCTGGACGAAAACTTGGCAGTGCATATGGCTAAGGTTGACCAATTCCTGTCTCATATCAATTAAACCTTTCATGGGTTTTTACTCACATGCAGTCACTAATGAGCAGATGCCCAGGGCAATGATAATTATGATGATAATACATTGCCCTTACACCATCTCTCTTATCCATGGAAACCTAAGTGCTTTACCAACAGTAATTATCATACCACTTATGGGAGATGTAGAAGTATAATTAACACCATTTACAGATGAAAATGAAAAAAAAAGGATATTAAACAACTAGCCCAGAGAGATGTAAGAACTCAGCCATTTATTAACTGAAAAAAAAAATAAAAAAGGTCAGGTCTCAATGTGAAGACTTGACAACGTGAACAACCAGTCAGATAACTGATTGTCTTCGAGTTCTTTAGAGAGAGAAAGCAGAGAAAGATGCAAATATAGATGAAGTTAGATAGAGATATATACAAAGGCTTGGATGATGCCAGTCTGCATTGTCAACTATGGGTCTTTATTGCTCAATCTATTGCTTCAACTATGAATACAATAGAAACACACAGACTACCACAAATACCTTATTGGCTATCTGGGTATTCCTTAACCCATGAAGTTGACACATAAGATTAGTCATCATAAAGTTTAACTGTGAGCTTATTTGGGAATGGTGTTGACATAAGGCTATGGAAGATACACTTATGTTTGGATGCAACATTAGACCATAATCCTCTTACCTCTGCCTTCCTGAGTAGCTACAATGGTGTATGTCACCAAAATGGTCCCACAAGCACCCTGTTTCTAATGTATATTCTTTTCCTTATGAATTATAAAAATGAGCTACTGGGTCTTGGCCTGTAACCATCTTAGTTTTCTTGTCACAATATAACAATATCTCAGTTCTGTTATTTAGCATTTTATTCATATCATCCTAGATGACTGCCTATTGTCTGTGGCTGGATCCACTTGAAAACTGCCTGTACTACAAACCATGTTATCATCTGTATGTAGCTAGATACACCCTCACAGTTTTGTTGTGAATTTGTGTGGCTTTTCTCTTCAGATTTTCCAGATTTTCCAGCTGTCTTGTTTTCATCCTCAATACCTTTTTCTGACTATCATTCATTCCTGTCAGCTCTTCACAGCTCAATAGTTGGTAAATCAATACAAGGATGAACGTTACAGAATAGTGATATTGTCTGAGAGTAATGTAGCATTTACAGTAGATAACGTGAACATGGTTTACATTTTCCTGTACAGTTATGACTGTATACATTATGTAGACAAAAATGGATGACTTTCTGTCTTAGAATTTTTATAAAGGAAATTAGTTCATTGAAGCAATGGAAGGACTCAAGTTCATTTGAATACATTTTCAGTTTTTGTGTGAGATATAGGACAAACTCAGATAGTAGATGGGATGATAGAGTGGGTGTAGAAAACCCCTCTTACTACAAATCTAAGAGAGCTGAAAATAGAAGCTCTTTCCCGTCACCATCACAGCAAGGGAGCTAAAGAGTTTACTTGGGATCATTTAGTGGACATTTCTGAAGCATGGTGACTTCCCTGACTTTGTTCTTTTTTTATTTCTTTGTGTCAAACAGCAACGAAAGTCTTAGAAACAAACATGACTATACAGGGCAATCTAAAATGAAAAACTAAAAAAAAAGGACTCCTATTGGAAAGTGTCATAATGTTATCAAGGGAAAAGAACCCATGATGGTTTTACTGCCTGAAATTAGTCAAGAAAAGGTAGCATATACAGATGATCTGATCTGAGAAGCATTTATCTCTCAAGGCCATATGTAGGCTTCCTAAAATGGATCAAGATTCTCCCAAATCCAAAGTATTATGAATCTGTACTTATGTGTGTGCATTACCCTTATACTAGTATAGACTCAGATCCTGTATACCCAGCTTTGATAAGGTTTTAAAACATTTTTCATGGGTTTTACCATCACCAATGGGAATGAACAACAGAAATGATTATGATTTTATCGGTGGTTATCACAAATGAAGAGGTCTGTTTAGTTCTTTCTTTGTCATTAAGCTCCATGAGAACAAGTATATTTTAAACTATTTTCATTATGGATGGCCAATAAATTATAAGTGGCTTTCTTTAGTGTACATCTGACTGCATTATACACATTATAGCACTTTACTTTGCAGGATTCTCTGTTCCCCTACCCCTATCATGAGTTTTACAGATCATCTCTTTACTGTTGTGGACTCAGAAGAGCTGAGAGATATTTGACATCTTGATCTTTGCAAATTGCTGAAAGAATTAATTTGGACAGATAGTTGAGCCAAGTCAAGCAAGACATGTTTACTCTAAACTATGGAGTTCAACTGCACATTTTTAGAAATAATCATGGTAACTGATGGTACCAGGGTGAACAATAAATTAGTATAGCTTAGAGGCTAAGTTCTTTTCTTTCCTCAGCACTATTTTTCTACAATGATGTAGAGGAAGATCATGCCAAGTACTAGATCAAATAGGTGATACTTAACATCTATTTTCTTTCCTACTTGAAAGAATCTGCTATCAAATGGAAATGAGTAACTTCATTCGATTCATACTTTTAATTAAATGCATATTCCAGGCTTAACTGTTAACAAAGATACTATGGTATCAGTATTCATAGCATTCAGAAAAATATGAGAGATTTTCATGAATGATTGTACACTGGCTAGCCGGAAATCAGACAAAACATTAGGGTTGCATTCTTTCTCTGTATTCTCCTCCAACTCTCCCAATGACCCCATTCGAAGATTTTGACCAGAGCTCGGAGAACCTACTATTGTATTTTAATCTCTCTCAAATTCGAATAAAGTTGTAGTCTTAATTGCTTTGCTTTAATTTTTAAGTTACAGACTTATACACTTAACAAAATATGATTAACATTATTGATGTAATGGTCTTAAGGAGAAGTAGCATTATCCTTGGAATCTGTACACATCTGAATAGATCACAGACAGGATTGATGGTTTTGTCGTTACCTCAGTCACCACACATCTGCCTATGTTCAAATATCCATTGTTATGTGCACCCATTTGATCAGATATGATATCTGGTCCCTTAATTGTCCATGACTACTTTGAACCCTTTTAAATAAAGAAACATTAACTTAAACCTGAGTAGCTACAAATCTGTCAGCATTTACAGTTTCTGTTGACAGCTGTTTGATAGCCTTCCAGAGACATAATTATGGCCAGATTGTATGGATTTTGTAGTCAACTACAAATGACTTGCAATAATGGTTTAAAGCCTAGGGATTCAAAAATATTAGTTTGTTCAATCTAATCAGTAGAATGTTCTCTTTTTTTGGTAATGTTTTTTTATTGTTAAGATGTTGCACAGAGGGATTATAGTTACGTGAGTAAGGTAATGAGTGCATTACTTGTCCATCATTGTTACTCCTTCCTTTCCTTGTTGTTGTCCCTCTATCCCTTCCCTCCCCCACCTTCCACACTCCTCTGCCCTTCCCCCACTCGCTGCCTGAAGTTGTAAAGTTTGTTTCCAATCTAAGTAAGTTCTTTACAGATATGTTTAAATGTAATCCAAAGGCATTTGATATTGGAAAAATTTATTACATTTCAAATAAATAATAAAACTATGTGAAGAAAATACAGGATACAGAGTAATTGAGAATGTATTAATTTTTTCAATTGTTTAAATTACCTACTTGTTTCAGCTATTGGTTGAAATAAATGGCCTTATTTCTTGTACTGAACAAAGAATCCCAAATATTTTAGAACTGTATTTACCATTTACCATTTGTATCTTTCTTTAAGTGCCAGCAACAACTCCCTACTCATAGTGAGTGTTAATATTAATCTACACTATTCAAA